CAATAGATTGGAACTGGTTCATTTTCTTTGTCTATCTGTATATGATGAACACAAACTAGGCTAGGATTCGGGGGGGGGGAGGGCAGAGCAATAACTTGGCATCTGCTTCTGCTAGCTCCATGATCTCTGTCTATGATCCTCTTTCAAATTGCCTTCTATTTTTACTTTCATAATTTAGAACTTATAGATAATATGACCCCAGGATGGTTGAAATTGATGTGTTGGTAAATGTTACTGAGTAGGTCTCAAAAAAGAAAAAGTCCCAAATTGTGACAGTTGTCCATTTCCATGATATGAATACTCATGACATAGCTGATTCTGGGCTTACCAATGTGAGATTCATACCAAGGGCATTTGGAAGAGATTGGCACAGGTATCTTCACCAACCAGTAACCAGTTCCTGTACAGTGTAGAACTTAAAGTTACTAAGTTTCTTCCCAGAATGACTGAGCTGTATATAATTGAGAAAAAACAGTAAGTCAAAAAAGAATTCAAATTAAAAAAAAATGTGGTCACATTTGTATCATTTTCTTAGGATTTTAAGTTGTGGTCATGCTAATTTGTTATTTGAAAGGCTGGTAGTCCACACTTTGTCTTTTAAAGAAAGCTATACCCATATGGTAATATTTTAAAATGATAACTCCCCTTTGTCAGAAGCAATATTTAGAATCTGACCTAATGCTTTAAATGCTTTTGTTGTAGTTCCAACACCAGTTTTAAGCCAAGCTAGAGCAGCACTTTTAACTCCACCACCCTGAGGATTAATGTGTACATCCTGGAAAGTTGGCAGCACAGTGCCTGGTACCCATCCATGCTGTTTGCTGACAACAGTGAGCAGCAGAACAGAATTATTGAAATGCTGCAGACAGTGCCAGCTAAAAATATACTGACTAAAAGGGATGCAACATAAAGCAATCAATCCAGGAGATGTTAGGCCTGATTGTCACAGTAGGAGCTATGTGTGCCATGGTCTATTGACAGAATCCGTAATTTGTTACAGTTTGAGTTTAGTCTTCACGAGACAATTACCTATCATAAAGCTTCAGCAAGAAAAATAGATGGGAACATAAAAATATTCTAATTTTTACACAGTTTACAATGTGTACAACTTCTAATAGATGAGGTAAATCTGCATTATTCACAATTGAGAGTGGTGGGAGACCAACGGCATATTCTGTACATGTACTTGCAAATAGACTTTGGTCTTCATATTGAGCCCCCAAATGAAATAAATATTAAGTACCATCTTGTTTCTCCTCTTTACACTAGTATTTATCAAGAAAAATGGTAAGTTTGAGTAATGTAGGTGCATTTAGAGGCAGCATACATAGCTGTGGGATTGTTGCTCATGACATACAGAAGTACAGAGCCAATCCTGTGGAGGCAATGCAGAAGTCTTCTGGCCTTAGTGAGTTCTAGTGCAAAAGAAACTATAGAAGCTCCTCTGGGAGAACACTCAGTACAGATCTTCAAAGAGGTATATCTTTATTATTTGGAAGAGGAAAAGAGATGGGTCATACAGAGGTTTGGAACTGTGTTGCCTGTTCTAAATCCATCAGTCTACAATAGGTTGATTTCCACTTTGAGAATCTCAATGCCAGTCTCCTCTGTAGCTTCTCTCTTTGGCAGACAATTCCTTCTAATCAGTACATGGAGAAGACTTTTATGAAGTTGTCCCTTTAAAGTCTTAACTTCCTTTCAGGAGAATCAAGGCCATGCTTTGTGTCCCTGTGTGCTACACCTCAATTACTACATACTCTGCTGGTACCTGCTATGCCATGGACCTCTAGGTTTCCCTCCCTCTAGTTCTTTTTTTTTCTTCCTTCCTTCCTTCCTTCCTTCCTTCCTTCCTTCCTTCCTTCCTTCCTTCCTTCCTTCCTTCTTCTTTTCTTTATATAAAGTGGCTTCTTTATTTTGTATACTTTTAATTTCACAACAAAAACAAACACCCTCACAGTACACAATACCCAACCTTGCTATTTTGTAGGAGGGAATTTTCCTGTCTTAAGACACAAGGACAGGACAGAAGAGATCCTATAGACATGAGCAGAGCCAGGTAGGTCAAGGCTAGTCAAGGCTGCTGGGGAAGCCACAGGGAAAGTATACAGAGGGCACAGGCTTCCAAGGAGGATCTCTAGTCTACTTCTATGCAAGAGGCATCTAACCCTCAAGTCAGGGGAGGAACAGTAGCACTAAGCTCCACTGCTGTCACCCCATATTCATCAATGCCCAGGTCTAGTATGATCATGAGGCAGACGTAGTTGGAGTGGGATTGGGGATCCTCATATGAGAAACCAGAGTTGAGCAGAGCAGTTTCAAACAGCAGCACCACCAGGTCCTTGACAGCTTTGTCATTTTGGTCCACCTCAGCCTTCTGAGGGTCCCCACAAAGGGGTAATCAGGATTTCTCTCTAGGTCCTTTTTGTTCATCATGTAGCCCATTGTAGAGTTGGCTTGAAGTACCCAAACCTTCATGATCTGCTCCATGTTTGCTGTCCAGCCACAGGTTCTTGTCACAATGCAGCGGGGTGAAGACACAAGCATATTGGAGATTGTTGCCTTCTTAATCTTATCCAAGATCCCCTTCATGAGCTTGCAGAGATTCTCAAACATTTCTTTGCTCTCCTCCATTTTCTTTTTCTCTTCCCTATTCTTTGGTAGCTCCAGGTCCTCCATAGTAATTGAGACCCAGGCTCTTTCCATCCAATTTCTCAAGCTACTGCACATGGTACTCAATAGGATCAGTTATATCCATCACTTCAAAGCCCCATTTCTGCGCATGCTCCACAGAGTTGGCCACCTTCTTTGCTCTCACCAGTGATATAGTAGATGGACTTCTGTGTCTTTTTCATGTGAGATACATACTCTGACAGGGAAGTCATCTCCAGACTGAGAGGTGTGAAAGAGGGGGAGCTTAAAGAGAGGGGCTGACGGTTACTAGAATCTTCATAGATTCCAAGCTTTAAATTCTTCCACAATGCCTCATAACATTTCTTGAAGACTTGTTTTCAACCAGACACTTCACAATGTTTTTATGGATGACTTTCAGGATCTTGCTCTGCTGGAGTGTATCTTGGGAGATATTTAGGGGCAGGTTCTTGAAGTCAACCATGATATGCATAAAGTTGAGGTACTCAGGAATCAGCTCCTCACAGCTATCCATAATGATCACACAATGGACATATAGTTTGATGATGATGTTGTTTTTTGTTCTCAAAAAGGTCAAAGGGAGCTTGGCAAGGAATGAAGTGCAATGCCATGCCCTGAACTCTAACTGACCTACAGTGGTTGTCCCAATCATTGGTGAGGCTCTTATAGAATTCACATTTCTCTTGAGCTATTCATCAATGTTTCTTGACCAAATAGACTCAGTCTTATTAAATTCTACCTGATCAATGTGTTCTCCTTAATCTTCTTTATTTTCCTTTTCTTATCTTTGCCACTGCCATCCTCCTTGTCTGATCCTGTATCTTCACTCTTAGGCCTCTCCACACCATCCATATCTTCCTCTTCTTTCTTACTTTTCTCTTCCTTTGCCTCATCATCACTTATCTTCTCTTGTTGCTTCTCCAAAGAGAGCGATGGAACAGCCTATGGACTGAGAGCGTTTCTTCACCACTTCCTTGGTCCTCCTCTCCTTTAAGTACTCTGGTCTTCTTTGAGGTAAAGGATCATTTCAGTACCCCTAACCAACGGGCTGACTATGGTCTGCACAAACTGTTAACGATCCACCGGCAGAAGATGCCCAGGCATACTTCTCATCATCATTGTGCTCTGTGATCATAACTACTGTCTTTACCACTAGATAGGCTGAATAGAATCCAACACCCAACTACCAATCGTGGAGATGCCTGCACCAGCCTGGAGAGCCTCCATGAATGCCTTTGTGTCAGACTTTGCAATGGTCCAAGTTATGAATGAGGTCAGTCATGGTCATGCCAATGCCTGTGTCCACCAAAGTCAGTGTGTGCTCCTAAGGACTGGGCATGATGTTAATTTTCAGCTTTAACTCTGTCTAACTTGGAAGGGTCTGTGAGGCTCTCAAAGTAAATTTTGTCTAAAGCACCAGAAGCACTAGAGATCAACTCCTGAAGGAAAATTTCATTGTTTGATTAGAAAGTATTGATGATGAGGGACATGAGCTGAACAATTTCTATCTGAAAGGAAAAGGTCTCCACCTCTTTCTCTCCATGGTGCACTTACTCAGGCATCTTGACAGGAAAGCTAGGTAGTAGTACAGAGCAGGGCGGACCTGGCCTGCATCTGACTTGCATGCCAAGCCTAGGCTGCACAGGGTTTACTCAGGACCTTGTTTGCTTTTCTCGTATGAGTATTTTTCTGTCAACCTTAAGTATTAGATATTTTATATATTAAAATTGTCATGCAATTCTGTGTTTTGGAAAGTGGATGGAACTCATTTAACTCACCATGTTGGAGGTTATCTGTTCCAACATGCTCCAGAATTATCAAAGAGCTGAGTAGAACCTCATGCTTTTACTTAGTAAAATGACCTGCCAACTTATTCACATGCCATTGGGTTCTAGGTAAGTTTAGAAGGAAAAAATATTATGAGATGTTTTTCTTTTATTTTCTCCTTTTATATACACTCTAAAAACCCCAGAGATTCAGCTCAATTCTATACTGAGCATCTCTAATGAGCTGTGGTGTGGAAGCTCGTGGTCACTGTCCTGAAAGTAGCTCCTATTTTACTATGGAACTCAAAAGTGATCAGGTAATAGCAAAAGGATGTAATGTATGTCTCTAGAAACATGACTAGAATATCCTGTCAGACTTGGGGCTATTAATAAAGCATGGATAAATCAGAGAGGACTGAAGAGATGCCACTGTTGTTGGATCATGAAGAATAAATAAATGCATGTGTGTGTGTATTGCTGAGGATGGTGGTAAGGGCACTGTGGGTAGAAGAAACTATAGGTACCAATAGTGACAGAGTAGGAGGGGTCAATAATATACCATAAAGGATTCCTATACACAACAGATTTACTTTAAGAAACAGTTGCTAAAGTCAACTTTATTGATGTGATGTACCACAGGTTAGCATGCTGTATTACTTTTTCTGTTTCTGGTGTAAAATACCCTGATAGAAACAGCATAGGGTAGGGGTTCTTTTTGCTCACAGTTTTAGAGTACAGAATATCGAAGAAGGAAAGTTGTGGTAACAGAAGCTTGGGCTTGCTGGTCACATTACATCCTCAGTCAAGACACAGAGATGAATGATGGTGCGTAGCGGTCCTTCTCTATTTTATTCTATCCTGAACCCCAGCTACTGGGATAGGACCACTCATAGTTAGCATGGGGCATCTCACTTCAATCAACCCAATCCAGAAACTCCCCCTCAGACATGCCTGGAGGAGTGTCTCTTAGGTAAGTGTAGACCCTGTCAAGTTAACAATATTAACCATCATAGACACCTTGAATGTTGTAGTTGAGAATATTAAGTAGTACTTAAAATTTATATGTTAAAACATTTCCCCATCATTTAGAACAAGCCTAAATGTGTTATGTTTTAAGAAAAACCACATGAAAGATCCTGAGGGAGGTAAACCACAACTCTCTCCTTACAGTTCTCTTTGCAACACTCCTGTCTTCATCTTCTCCCATCTGTCACTCTGCCCAGTCAAACCTGGGCTACTCTCTTTGGAGTTGATTATCAGTGCTGCATTCTTACTGTGGAGACAGTTAAATCACTAAAGGCCGGAGAAAACTAGGAGCACTGACAAGGTTCATGTTGGTCAAAAAAATGGTGTTAGACAATGGTAGTCATTTTTTTTCTAATCCTATTTGTTGTCCTTTACAAACTATGTAAAAATCACAAAATGATAGTTATTGGTCACATTAGTACCTTACATAGTAAATAATTCAAAAGATAATTGGTGAATAACCAGCTATAACTTAATTAACTTGGATATCTTCGTTCAAAAGTGAAGTTAGGTCCTTGTCTTACTCCAGGCATGAAAATGAAACCAAAGACCAAGTAGAGGTTATTGCAAAAATGGCTGCAAATATATTCAATATTGTAGTTCTGTGTTATGAAAATGATCTGGAATTAAATACTACTAGTAACTAAAATACAATGTTATGAATATAATAAATCACTGAATCACCTAGAATAGAAAGGTGAATTTTATGGTTTGCAAAGTATAGCTTTACATAGCTGCAAGCTGAGGTGATGACTCAGATGGGTAGAGCACTTGCCTTTCAAGTATGAATACCTGAGTCCAGATGCCCAGAACCTAACAACATAGTTGGGCATGGTGGTGGTGTATGTAGTCCTAGTGCTGAAGGTTGAATACAGCAGGACCCTAGGAGCTTGCTGGCCTACTGCTGAGCTAATTAACATTCTAGTCTACAGCCCCCTCCCCCCAAATACCAAAAAAAGTTGGAGAATATGCAGATGACACCATAGGCACGGGTACCTGTACACACACGTATGTACTCACAAAATTAAAAACAGATGCAAATAAAGATACAACAGTAGCAGAATGAAATCATGGCCCAGAAGCTTGAGGTTCTTGTACAAATGTTCAGAGTATACAGTCTTCTCACTGACAAAGAATAGAAGTTACGAGAAGAGTGAACACTTTTAAAACACATTGAAAATAGTCAAAGACGTATTTCAGTAATTATATATGTTCTCATTTCAGAAATCTAAAAAAAAAAAATGTTTCTCTTACAAATGATGAAATGCCTTAGTATTTCTGATTCCGTATTTGTGGTCTCACACAATTGTCGTTTTTTAGATTCAGTGGAGCTCAGGACCTAATTTTTCAAATCCTGGGGCAGAGGCTGCTGCCTGGCTCTCAGTACATGTTTTCTTCTTCTCCTCACACTGTAGTCAGGCTTTTGGAGCTGGGCAGATGGCTTTCAGCCAGAGGCTGCAATCTCAGCTTCCCTCATCATTCCCTGGGTGCCACCATGTGCATCCAGGCTGGCCACCGTTATGGCAGTGGAGGGAGTGTGCCAGGTCAGCCTGTGTCTTTGAAGGGAAGGGAATGCCTCTTTGTTCCGTTCCCTGCTCATGCTTCTTCCTTATTTCTTCCTATTTCTGCCTTCCCTCTGTCCTGCCTTCCCTCTGTCCTGCCTTCCCTCTCATTTCTTTCCTTCTACATTGCAGATATAATGATGAGTGTTGAGGAGCCTTTTATTGAAAAATTTTCATTCAATATACTCTGATCACAGTTTACCTAATTGTCTCCTAGATCTTTCCCACCCTTCCAAATCCATGCCTTCTTTTTCATTATTTAGAAAACAAACCAGAATAAAACAAAACAAACAAAAACAGCACAAAGAAACACACATATATGCATATACACACAAATAAAACCAATGAAAACACAGTATCAGAAACAATACCACATAAGAAAAAACATGAAGGTAAAAAATGCCAAACAAAGCAATAACAGACAAAAACTACTCTCTAAAAATATAATTGAGTTCATACTGTGTTGGCCATCTACTGCTGGGCATGGGGTCTGACTCTGTGTGGCTTGTATCCTCAGTGAGACTCCTTTGGAGAAACCAATTTTTCTTTGTGAGTGGTCATCAACTGGAGATAGCTTCTTGGTGAGGGACAGGGGCTTGTGTCCATCTCTCCTCTCAGCACTGGGACACCACCTGGCTCAGGTCCATGCGTGCTGCCACAGTCTAAGAAGCTTTTTTATTCACAAGAAGAAACTATTCTGCGGTAGAGCAGTAGAAGATGTCAGCTCTGTACCTTTGTGCAGGTAAGGCAGTAGAAGATGTCAGCTCTGTACCTTTGTGCGGGTAAGGCAGTAGTCTCCGTCTGTGAAGACTTGAGCGTGTTGGATCAGAGAAGCTGTTTGAGTTGTTCTTTGAATTTCCTGCTATAGGAAGTGGACAAATATGCTATCAAATCTGGCTGGTCTCTGAGGTTCCATTCTCTGAGAATGCTGCTACCACTTTTCACAGTGGACTAAACACATGCACACATGTGCATTTGTGAGTTACCAAATGCCACATTTACTGTGACTAGCTTTCTAATTTCTGCCATCAAGAAGAGGTAAAGAAATACATCATATTTTCTACACATCTTTGTTAGGACAGTCTGCTCAGTGTAGTGGATGGCAGCTTTCTCAGTTCACTTGGATTCTTGATAGTGCTAAATCTGCCCCGTCAGCTGAGTTCTTCTGGCTTCATGTGCAGTGTGGAAAAATTTCATGATCAGACTTCACTATTAAGAAAATCTTTCAGCAATACATGAACAATCAAATTTCTTGCCATGATAGGTGATCATTTGAGTCACAAGACTTACGAAAGTATCTCATGACAAAACTTCACAATACAGTGGTCTGGATGTCCACTTGTGTCTCAGTGTGACAGGCTGTGAGGGGGTGATAGCACTCGGTCCTTCATATCTGAGGAGAGGGGACCGTGAGGAGGCCTGTTGGCCTGATCTTGTTAATGCCACCATCTAGAATGCAGACTCTTGGATATTTCATCTTCACAAGATGAGCTGCAAACTGCAAAGAGAAGACAGTGTTACAGGAATCATTCAGAGAATTTCTTCCATGTCCTGTGTGTATCAGGCTGGGAGGGTCAAAGGTATTTTTATAGCAGTAGTTCACTGTAGTCACCTTTGCATAGCTCATTCGTCTTTTAGCATAAATTAAATTACATATTTATATTTATCAAAACTCTTGTTTTCTCTCTTTTTTCTCTTATATGCTAACAAATATCCACTGTAAATAATTTCATGCAGTGTAAAGGTTGAAGAGAGAGTAAGCTCTTCCTAGATGGTTAGCCTCTCTCCCAGAGACTTAACCTTTCTGTTGTTACTCTGTAACCTTCCATGATAGCTAAAGCCGTCCCAAATCTATTTTGAAGAAAATTTGATTTTATGGTAAAATAAAAGTTATCACCACAATTCTGTGTAGAATGTCTCAGGGCCACATTCCAGTTATAGCATGTTTTTGAAGCAACAAAATTAACATTTTGAGATTAACTGGAATTACATAAGGACTCATCCAGGAGATCTTCCGGATGAGTGGCACACAGGACTCTGTAAAAGCCGTGCAGACACAGACTTCTGCCGGACTTGGCCTCTGCAGGGCTCCTGACTGCCTCTTCCCAGTCACTGCACTCCTGAGCAAGGAAGGCTTGCTCAGGAAACCCTTTTCTGTAAGAAAAGCTTCTTATTAGAATTAGAAGTTTAATAGTTAGGTCTTGGCACAGTGGTCTATACCTAGGAAATAAAAGGGCCAGCTGAGTAGTTCGGTCAGAGTAAGTTCAAGGCCTCAGTTCTAGAGACTGTTTTATTGACCTGGGGTTCAAAGATGTATACTTTAAAAGATACCTCTTCTATGGTGTATGAGCCCAAAGACACACAAAATAAAGAGATGAGTATAAAAGATACATAAAAATCCTCAAGTCTCCCTAAATGAGTCTAAGGCAGGCAGTCCAGGGACAGTTGTACAAAATAGTGTCTCAAGACAAAAGGATAAAGGTGGCAGTACAGAATATGTACTGCCAGATTGCGATTGAAGTATTCCTTACAGCAAGGAGACGACAGATAGATGGATGTCAATACTGCTCACCTTGCCTCTTTCTCCATCATGTTCTGTAGGCCCCTAAGAGTCAAGTGGCCATTTACAGTTCAAATCCAGATGGGGATCTTTAGTCATAAACAATGCTGGAGAAACTGTGCTTCTGCATGTTGGTCATGCATGAAGCTGTCACAGTGAGCTCATCTTCTTCCCGCCCTGCTGGCTCACTCTTTGAAGCCCAGTCCTCAAGAACAGTGGCACCAGACCCATCCACCTGAATGTACAGTCAGCACTGTCCCGTACTATATGATTACCAGCACAGCTGCATTTCCCACATGCAGCAGTACAATTACCATAGAGGCTGGGAATCCTACATAATATAGCATTACCAAAAGGGCCTTGTGGGTAAGCCCTCAGCTTTCAGCACTTAAGAACATGCTGGAAGTAAGAAAATGAGTAGAGGAGGACTATTGCACTCTTGACTAATCTCTTAACGAATGCTGTAAAGCTGGAAAGACTTCTATTATAGATGGACAGAACACAGAGTTCTGTAAAGCTGGGAAACGGATGGCAAAATAGGCAGAGGGGGATCTCAGTCAGGTTGCTGCTACGTGGGTGGTCTGCAAGGGAAGCAGGATGGGCGGATGGGCGCACCAGGAGACAGAGCTCTCCGGATTGCCTGGATAGGATGAAGCTGCATTTCAGTAGGGGAAAAAGCAACTGTTTGATTTCCACGTAAGACTGGGAGTTCTGCTCTGCCTCTTTGTGGTTCCAACCATCCATGGTTAATACTGGCCCTGTAGCAGAACCATGGCTACAGCTCTCCAGCTTTTCCACTCCAGCCTTCTTCTCTTCCATCTGCTCACTTACTTGTTCACTTATTAGTCATCCATTTCCTGAGCATCTGGTCAGTACTCTATACTGTTCTAGGTTTGGGTGATTATGAACAGAGGAAATGGTAGCTGAACAATTAATGGAACACAGTATGGAATTGCAAAAGCAGTTGTTTACACACTTTAAGAGCTTCTGAACTTAACATGAATTTTGTCATGGATGTTGAAACCACACTTAATAGAAAATTCTAATTCCTCATTTAAAAAGGTGAGAATTTATAAGAAAACTTATTACATAATTTTATAGACTACTATTCTAATAGGGTCTATGAGATTTGAAATCCTTAATATGGTGTATATTAGGGTTACAACAAACTTTTAAGCATTGTTTCTGGTTTTGAACAATCTACTTTTGGGATCTGTTTTAAATAGTTTTTAACATGAGATGCAAGAGAAGCACTGAATGGGATCCTCCAGAAAGCTAAATGGCAAGGAAATGAGCAGAGCAAGCAATCAAAAAGCCCAGACTCTGCAAGACTTAAGGGAGGAGCAGAGGGGGCCATTCTCATTCAAGCCACCACAGCAGGACACCTACATTGTCTGGTGTAACCTTCTGCTTTGTGAGTTCAAAGTTCATACTGGAGACAGGATAACAAATACACTGCTCAAAACCAGAGAAGCCTTGTCTTATCCACTTGACATGCCCTGTCCTAACTTCCCCAGCAATGCTACTTCTGGATGGACATGGTATTGAGCGAGGGAATTTGGAAAAATACTGTAATGAAGAGCTGGGGTTACATACTTATTAGAGTGGAGACTGATGCTGTGTAGCCTTATGAGTCCTCCTGGCACTCTGGAATGCTGAAAATATGACACACAGTATTGCAATGAGGTCATGGTACATTGGTAATGCGTGTGAACTGTTTAACCAATTTTGAAGTATTTGGAAGATTCTAAGTCATATAAGTCTGAAATGAGCAAAAGATTTCTCTGTGTCAATTGTGATATTGGCTAGAGATAAATTTATAGCAAAATGTGGTGGTCATGAATCCTGCCTATGAGTCTGATGGGACTGAGAAACGCCTAGATTAAACACATTTCTGGGTGTGTCCATGAGGGTGCTTCCATAGATGACTGGGAGGTGTGGACCTGCCCTGAAAGTGGCCAGTAGTATCCCTCAGACCGAGGGTCCAGGAGTAAAAGGGAAACTGACATTCCTTCTCTCTGCTCCCTGGGCAAGATGCTGCTGAGGATGGCTCTGCTCAGTCAACGCCCTTACATGATGGGCCCACTCCTTGAATCTATGAGCCCAGATAAGGAATTCACCCTTTTTCTCAAGTCTTCATCACAGCAGCACCAATTCTGACTAGCACAATGTATTGAAGACATTTCTGGGACAGTTCCTGAAGGTCTTGGTCAGTAGACCTGGACATCTTGTGAATAACAATGAGAAGCATATGATTTCTGATAAGGGTCAGAGCAACACTGGAATGGCGAATCAAATATGACACTGACTTCTTCCCATCACCACATGGTCAGTGTAATTCTGACCGGCACCCTTCAGTCAAATCCTTACTATATTCTTCCCATACCTGAGGTAAGTATCTGTCTGTTATTTTTGTATTCATGTGTTTTATTTTACTTACTGGAGTTTATTTATATTTTATAAAATGTGAAGTGAGTTTTCACAGAAATGATATATAATGACAACTTAAGACAACTAAGAAGTGGCTACTTTTTCTTCCTTTGAAATTCACTCAGAGATGAAAGCAGTGACTACAAAGCCTGGAAGGGGAGGCCACGGTTAGGTAGTCACATCACGCCCTGTCATGGGCAGTGGTGAAGAGCACAGCACATAGCAGGGAACCCAGGAGTGGTCCTGCTGCTGCTGTAACAATATCACAGATGAGGTACTTTGTGATAAACATTCACTTTTCAACAGTTCCAGAACAGAGGACGTTCAATACCGAGGAGCTACATCAGGTTAGAACCTCCCGTGCATCTTAACATGGAGAAAGTCAGACTCCACTTCTATCAGGAGCCTTCTGTCCTGAAAACCAACCCAATACTCGTGCACGTTCTCATGAAGGGAGTATGCTGGACAGAAAGGTTCTACATGTTATAATGTTAATAACAAGTGTTTTCAACATGAATTTTGTCATGGATGTTGAAACCACACTTAATAGAAAATTCTAATTCTTCATTTTTTTAAATGAAGGTGAGAATTTATAAGAAAACTTATTACATAATTTTATAGACGACTATTCTAATAGTGTCTATGAGATTTGAAATCCTTAGTATGGTATATATTAGGGTTACAACAAACTTTTAAGCATTGTTTCTGATTTTGAACAATCTACTTTTGGGGTCTGTTTTAAATAGTTTTTAACATTCTGTATTACATAGAGAATTACATGGCTATAGAGAATTAAATCTAACTATTTCTGACTTTCTGTTTTCTATAGTTGCCACCTTAACTTCATTTCTTCTCATTGTTTCTCTTTTCCTTTTTACTAAGAAACATGTTACACATGTGAGAACAGAGCAGAACGGTAAAATGAACCTGCAGCTCAGCCTAACGGTCACAACTCACACTCAACTGGTTTCATTATGGCTCCCGTATAATACTGTCACCCTTTTATCTCTGCAAATTCTGGACACTCACTGCACTGTTTAACACATAAATTATTTAAAAAGACTCCTATAATGCCAGTGGTATTAACACTTAAAAACTATCAATGACCAGGCTTTGGAGGTTCACCCCTGAAGGTGCAGCTAGAGACTGTTACAAGTGTGAGGCCAGCTTGGGCTACAGACAGGTAATCTCTAAGAATAAAGACAGCCCCCACCCCAACCAATCTTCCTTAGATTACAGCCACTTAACTTTCCACTGTCTTTCCTGCTTCTACCCCTGCCCCACACAGTCTAATCCCATACAGTGTGAGCAAGCCTCTTTTCCAAGATTGCTTTCATTGCTCTGGTCTATACAAATTCTGGAACCAAATAGTTTCCTTCCTCTTCCCTTTCCTTATTTCCTTCTCTAAATAGAAGAATTCACATTTACAACATATACACTTCAGGTTTAAAAAGCACACAAATGAGACACAAGGTAGTGCTTGGTCACCACCTGGATGCATCTGATCC